TTTTTTTATTGATTTGTTCTATACATTGGTCCATTTTATTCTTACCTTTTCAGAATCCTTGTGAGAGCAATCCGTGTGCTAATCACGCCACATGTCAAGCGGGATTTGGTGACCATGGGTACCGCTGCCTATGTCCTGCTGGATATCAAGGAGTTCAGTGCGAGACAGGTGATAAAGAAAACTTCTTACGATTAAATGATGAGCTCGGATAACAGGCAAAATAATTCTGACTTAAAAGATGAGTAGAAGGAAAGAGAGCAAGCAGGCAAAGGAGCAAACATGAAAGAAGAAAAATTCATATGGCCACTTTTATAGATTTTGACAAAATATCTCATCAAGGAGGGTTCTTAACCTATGATTGTTTTCTTCTTAAATTGTGTGTAAATGTTGATGAATGCACATCGGGAAAATACAATTGTTCCGTAGAGCACAGATGTGTCAATAATTTGGGAGTCAGTGCTTATATAAACCTGGATTTAACGGCGATGGAGAAACTTGCTAAGGTGAGAACTTTAAGTGTGATTCTTCTCGTGGCCCCGTGAGGATTCAAAACTTTGTCCTGTCTGGAGAGTTTTTCCAAGCTTTCCTCATGGTAAGGGCAATGCAGTCTCATTTCGTTACCCTGATGTAATACCCAATCATTAAAGCTAGTGCGTCACCGCAATGACTGTTCCGCTGATAAACTATTGACTCCCAGACTCAAACAGATGATCTTAAGCCTGCGTTTGAAAGAGGCCTGAAGTTTCGAAATGGTGAAATAAATACGTTTAGACCGGATGAACATTGAAAAAAAACATGATAAAGAAGCGGTGGTGAAAAACTTGAGTGAAAAAATGTGGGTGATAGATGAGCTTAATCAATCTTACTGAGATGTTGACGAATGCACATTGGAGAAGTACCATTGTTCCCATCTTCTTCATGATCTGGAATATCATGCAAGGCGTAGCTTGCCTAAAGAGTGTTTTCAGCCTTACCTTTTTTCTTTTCGTCTACATTCTTTTAAGATATCGATGAGTGTAAAGATGACAGCCATGAGTGTCACTTCGCTGCCGATTGTGCAAACATCGCTGGATCATTTGACTGCAGTTGTAAGTCTGGACACCTTGGAGACGGACGGCACTTTTGCTCAGGTACATCTTATCTTTAACCAAATAATGGAACTTATTTAGGCAACGTACGTACCCTCAGGTCATAGTTTACCTTACCTCACCTTCCTTCCTTAGTCATACCTTACCTTTCTCGTTATATTGAAAGAGGCGTTCATCTGGTCACGAGAAATGCAATTATGACACCTTTCACGCCCACTGATATTTGTCAAAAAGTCCCTTCCAGAGAAAGTGGAATGTTTTGTTTTAATTGTTATAGAAAAGTTCTTCAATTTTAAGACTTTTTTGGATCTAACCACCTCACACAATCTTTAAAACTTACCAACTTTTTTACCAGACAACTGGAAAAAGATTAACATCGGTCCTGTCTGTTTTGGGACAAAACATGACGACTACGGATCCTTTGAAATCCGGGAAGCTGGTAAAATCTTCACATTTGAACTTGTACACACGAGTGGCTCCGTGACATGCAACAGAAACTTTATTCGAACAAAGTGGGGATGCTCATCGCAGTTTTACGGTAACCATAACCTAATGACGGTGATAACTTACAGCAACAAAAGTGTTCTTCCACTTGCTAAGTTCGTGAAAAGCAACGAAGAGTATTTTTACCAACTTAGCGGTGCTGATGTCAACTCTCCCACGCTTGTGTTCAACCTGCTCCCCACCCCACTGGTCGTATCGGTCGGACAGCAGTTCCAAGTATGGTATGGACAAGACTTGGCTGATTTTACCGAGAACAATAATGATGGCAAGACATGCACAGACGTTCATGCTTTGTACCCTTTAAATTGATTTTATTCTGAGATTAAATCTAGATTTATCAAACTCCGAAAAACGAGATGGACATTATAAATGTTCCTCATATATCACGGGGGTGTAAGAAAGACACTAAATGAATCAGACGTGAGATAACTAAACTTGAAACTGCATCGGTTAAGGGTCTTTTATGGTTCGTCGAATAGTCTTTGAAATCTCCAAATATATTAATTATACCATAATATTTCTGGTGTCTACGGCTTTCCTATTTTACGGTTAGATAAGTAGTTTTGGCAGAGACCTGAGGGCGATCGACCTCGTAGTACAACCCTTTAACATTGACTTAGAAAAACACCTCGTATCTTGCTGGTCCATTTACAAAGCATGATTAGATTGAAGAGTGACGTGCGATATATACATAATTAAAATATAGTGCTTTTATTTCTTAAATGCTATGGTAAACATTCAATAAAGTATATCTCTTGCTATTTTTGTATGAAATGGTCAATACAAACAAAGATACGCCCATATACCAAAACGTTGAATAGTCTTGAGTTATTTCCCCTGTGGACGCTTGAAATGGTGTTAAAAAGTGACTATGTTGAGAATGTACCGAAAAGGTATGATCTGCTGGTGCAACTCGCGATGATTTGAAAAGTTTTCAAAACTTGCTACCAACTGCTCAGACAATAACATCACACATCTTACCGGGACGCCTTAGTAGGTGACCAACAGACAGTCAGTAGGCGTCTGAAATATTTTATTTACTTCAGCTAAATGAGTGATCTGAAAGATTATTTAGAAGCTAAATAGTATGCATGAAAAGATTCAAATGCCAGATCACTTTCACAGAATCAACCAATAAAATCACGAGAAACGACGACTCCAACACAATAGAAATGTACCAGTCAGTGCTCAGGATCAAAGCAGTCAAAGACGACAGATGATTTAAATGGAGTTCTATGCTCTCCGGTCGCTCTTAAGAATATCCAGGTTAACAGTAGTATAAAATGTTCTATATAACAGGCAATTATCAACCCTAAGTAGACCAAGGAGCCAGACGTTTTTGTTTGTCGTTATGACGTCCTCCATAGGCTAAATTACGTTGTTTAATGAACCAGAAAGTACAATTTAGCATTTTTCTAGCCTGTTCCGCAAATTCTAGTAGTCCAATAACGTTCAGTTCAGTTCAACAGCATGCATTAAATTGCGAATAAGGAGATTCAGTGATTTCCATGTGGTCTTATTACCAATATGCATAACGTGAGTTATCCATTCTTTCCCAACAGCCAAACACACACCGAGATGAATTCTGGCCAATATTCCCGAGGGTGTAGTCGGACGGTGAGTTTTACCTTTGAGCAATCTGGCACTCCCCCCCACTACACGGGGACTTATTATACTCGTCACCAGGTGCCCCGAGCTCAGTGCCAGTTTGAATTCGATCAGGTGTGATCCTAACGGTTTCGGGGCGCCATTCTAGTGGGTCAACGTACAAGTTTTACGGAGCCTGCTGGCTTCGCGTTTACAATACAATACAATAAAATACAATACAATACAATACAATAGTCTTTATTTAACGAAGGTGACGTAATTAACCCCATGAGTTATCGGCCTTCACAACGAACCCACTGTAGTACACAGCGGTTAAAATGAAATGCCNAACAAAATCTACTAATGGGTTACTGGTTACTCAAATCAGTTGCCTCACACGGGTTAAAGATACTTAACTTTGGATCTTTAAAGATCCACAAGAAATCAAGTAGGTGATTAAATACTCATAAAATATGATGAAATAACTCAGTTATATTCATATATACAAAAAACACTTCTGACAAACAATCTCTGACAAACACTTCTGACAAATAACCTCCTCCCGGTTAGCTCAATTGGTCAGAGCGCCAGAAACTGAGTTGGTGATTAAAAAGGCGATGAAAAAACTAAGCAAGTCCTAAAGATACCATGTACTTATTCACTGAGAGGGAGGACTCTAAGTAATGACGTAAGGACCGAGCGTAGCGAGGTGCGTGCGTTATGAACGAAATTTGAAAAGATTGTTTCAAAAATAGAACGCAACAGACTGGCACGCGCGGAAAAGTACAAAAAAGATTTCGCGGTAAAAACCTTTTCCTTATTCTTCGAACAAGAAACTCACAATTCATTAAAAATATAACTTATTTTCTCTTTTTTTTTCTTCACTGCCGTCAAACTTTTTTTGCAACAACTGCGAACAATATCGCCACACAACTAGAGTATGGCCGGACGGCTTCTTCCGAACCGGCTCACATCAACTCGTCCGGCCCGAAAAACGAATGCTTTGAGATTGCGTAAGCGGCGCTGGACAAGATATAAAGTATCTGAAATGCCTCACTTCAGTCTGATATAGTCTTAATTCAAGGAAACGTTTTTCAAAAAGTACTGGAAATTTCTTCACACTCTGCAAGTATTTTTTTTTCGTGCTGTGGTGGTATGGAAACAATGGAACTTGGCTTTTTTCAGCTTACGTTTACATTTGCGTTTATGTTGCCTCGGTTCACAATTGTGAGAAGCGAAAGCAAACGCAACTGCGAGCTTAAAAAAACTGAAAAATGTTTCATTACTTGCGTTGAAGATTACACTTGTATTTGCGTTTGCATTGTTCTCATTCCTTGACGCTTGCGTTTGCTTTTACAGTTGCGTTGGGGTAGTTTACACATTTAGATCCTTGCACTTCCATTTGCGCTTGCGTTTGCGTTTGCATTGCGCGTGCGAACCAGGCTTAAGGATACAAAAATACTTCCTCTTTGTTAGCGGGTATTCGATTTCACTCACTTCAGTCCAAAATACTTAGTTCTGGATCTTAGCACATACATTGTTGCAGAATCGTCTTCAAGTAGTAGTTCAGTTTCTGAGAATGTTAAGACCTTTTTAAGGTAGAAAAAAGTCTCCACACTTGTTCATGCTCAGCATGTTCAGCAACCAGGTCGGCTTGAGAATTAGCTTGAAGAAGACGGAGGCCATATGCGTTAATGTCCCTTCCCCAACAAAGATCAGGGTAAGAGGACAGGACATTCCTTACACCAACAAGTTCACATACCTCGGAAGTGTGCTCTGCCAGGATGGAGGTACTAGTGTAGATATACAAAGCAGATTGAACAAAGCAAGATATGCCTTTATAAGCTTAAGATCAGTGTGGAGGTCAGCAAGCTACAGCACAAAGACGAAGCTTAGAATCTATCAGAGCTACGTATTGTCAACTCTCCTTTACAGCTCGGAATGCTGGCGAATGACAGAGCAAGACCTCTCAAGCTAGCATCAGGAAGATTCTGAGAATCTTCTGGCCTCAGAAAATCTCAAACGAACAGCTACTGAGGCGAACCAGGCAGGAGGATATTCGTACACTTGTCACCAGGAGAAGATGGAGGTGGATTGGACACGTGATGCGGAAGCCCAGTAACAATATAGCCAGAATTACAATGTGCTGGACACCTGAAGGCAAACGCAACAGAGGGCGCCCGAAAACAACTTGGTGCAGGACTGTAGAGAAGGGACTAAGGGAGCTCAGTTACAGCTGATGATGATAATGATGACTTCATTTAAACTCGGTTGAAAATGAGGCTTGTTAGGCCTCTAGCAATAAAGATGCTAATATACCGAGGAAAAATATATTAATATAAGTTATAGAGTTTAAAAATAAATATAAGCCTAAATATAAATAATGATATAAAATTACAAATTACGTAGTTTTCTTATCTCATTCCTGAAAGGGCCAAATCCGGTCATTAATCTTAGCTTATCAGGTAATGCATTCCAAGCCTTAGCAGCAATGTAACAAGTCGATTTAAGGCCGTAAGTTGTGTCTTAGCACAAGTTTGTTTTTGCCCCTAAAATTTTTCTTGTTTTCTCTTACTTGAAATAAAAATTGAATATACTGAGGCATATTGTTAGAGAGGGCCTTAAAAATTATTAAAAGCACATCTTGTTTCCGTCTATAACTTAATGAGTAACCAATCTCATAACATAGACTATCATATCCATACGTATGATGCACGATCCTCGTAGTAGAGAGCGCTATTTATGCAATAGCGAAAATCAGACCTGAAAAAAATCAGGCCTGTACGGGATTCGAACCACTGACCTCTGCGATACTAGTGCAGCACTCTACCAATTGAGCTAACAAGCCAACTGGGAATAGGCCGTTAAGTTGATTCGTAATATACCCGTGATGATAAATCAGATATGATGAAATATATGAAGTTCATATATTTTGAACTGCGGTTATAGATACGTATGATGCACGATCCTCGCAGTAGAGAACGCTATTTATGCAATAGCGAAAATCAGACCTGAAAAAAATCAGGCCTGTACGGGATTCGAACCACTGACCTCTGCGATACTAGTGCAGCGCTCTACCAATTGAGCTAACAAGCCAACTGGGAGCAGGCCGTTAAGTTGATTCGTAATAAACCCGTGATGATAAATCAGATACAATGAATATATGAAGTTCATATATTTTGAACTGCGGTTATAGATACGTATGATGCACGATCCTCGCAGTAGAGANTCTCTACTGCGAGGATCGTGCATCATACGTATCTATAACCGCAGTTCAAAATATATGAACTTCATATATTCATTGTATCTGATTTATCATCACGGGTTTATTACGAATCAACTTAACGGCCTGCTCCCAGTTGGCTTGTTAGCTCAATTGGTAGAGCGCTGCACTAGTATCGCAGAGGTCAGTGGTTCGAATCCCGTACAGGCCTGATTTTTTTCAGGTCTGATTTTCGCTATTGCATAAATAGCGTTCTCTACTGCGAGGATCGTGCATCATACGTATCTATAACCGCAGTTCAAAATATATGAACTTCACATATTCACCGTAACTATCATATCCATTGGAAAAGTCATTAAAAACGTATCTAAGGGCCCTCTCATGTAATCTCTCTAATCTGTCACTATCTTCTTTGAGACAGCTATTCCAAATGGAACTATAATAAGTAAAGTTAGGCATGATAAATGCCCTATAGATACGTATCTTTTACGAAAACGAAAGAATGTGTTTGAATCGATTAAGTACATCAATTTGTTTACCTACAAAGTTTCAGTTTTTCAATGGTGCTGGAGCAGCATTGAAAAAATGGCTAAAGATAGGCAGGGTTGGGAAGAATTTCGTTGCTGCCCTATGTGCCCCACAGGCCTGACGGCAGTAAGTGAGTAAGTACTTGTTCATGCCATCGAGTGGGTGCAATTTGCGTTGCTCATTCAAAGCCTCATTGACAATCAGTGCCATTCCCTCAAGTTGGTGCAATTCCTTGTGACAGTGAAGAAACCACTGGCCTGGATTATCAGAAAGAAAATTGATGACAACGTAGCCTCCTGCAGGGACCATAACTGTGTCTTTTCTGATCGTGTGGTTAGA